TGTTTCCCTCCTTTTATCCTTAAAATAAAAAAATAAATAAATAAAATAAAATAAAAAGGAATAGATTCAGCTGTGGCAAGCGCTGTAGCTAAACTGCCATTTTGAGCAGTCTTTGTGAAAGTAGTGGTTAAAGTACTATCCCAGCAGAGGTAAAGGATTCATAAATAAGCTCGTTAAGCCTACCTTAAAGGTTGCCACATGCAACATCAAGAAAAGTCTCAATTTGTACATTGTATGGGCCGGTTTCTTTCTTCCCTTTTGAGTTTTTGTGTTTTGAGGTTTTGTCTGTTTGTTTGTTTATTGGAGACAGAATCTTGCTAAGTTGCCCAGGCTGACCTCAAAGTCAGGATGCTCCTGCCTCAGCCTCCTGAATAGCTTGGATTACAAGCACATGCCACCATGCCCAGCTTGTTGTTGAGTGTTAAAGGTCCATTCTGGTAGTCTCTTCTCACATCAGCAGAGCACTTTGGAGGGACTTCCGACATTATTCCAAAATCACAGAAAGATGTAGCCCCTAACTTCAGACCCCTAGCTTCCCTTTCCAGCAGAGTCTCCCTGGAAGGGGAGTGGGTTCAGGGAAGAACTAGGGGGGGGGCTTCAAGGAAGGTGTTGATGAAGGAGTCACCAAGCCATTGCTTAAGAGGGTCCCATTGTGACATAGAGCCCGAAGCTGGGGACGGGCCACAAAGGCAGTGACAGAATAAAGCCCTGGTTGCTAGGATCAGCAAATAAGTACTGGAGCCTCCGAAAAGGCAGATGGAGCCCCAGCTCCTGGTCCCCCTTCCCATCCCCCAGCCCCCCAGGCCGCCAGAGATGTCACCTTCCACCTGAACACCACCCCAGCCTTGGGCCTGACCTCTGCTCCTTGCCATCTTGGTTCCAGCTTCTCCAGCTCTGCGCCAGAGGACCATCCCGTCTTCCCTGCTCCCTGAGGTGCCATGGCCAGCTCTGACAGCTCGGTGGAGACGGACTCCCTGCCCCACACCCCTAGGCCTGCTCCTGATCTCCACCTTGAGGCTCCAAAGCCCGAGGTCACCATCTCTGTGCTGGAAATTAGCTCCCCATCCTCCTCCTGCTGGGGCTCCCTCCCTCCCCTGAAGACCACCAGCCGCTACATCACAGGGCCACTCGCCACACAGAAGCTTCAGGACCTCCTCAGGGACCTTAAAGACATTCTTAAGAGTGTGGCAGACCTAGGAGGGAGCACAGAAGCAGAAGAATCTTCTGAGGAAACCAAGATTTCTAAAGATGGCTCAGAACACCAAGAAACAGCCAAAGGCCTGCGCAAGGCAGATGAAGTGGCATCTAAAAATCTGCTCATTCACTTGAATCTAGAGGAAAGACAGGAAGCAAAGGAGCAGGGGCTGATAGTAAAAAGCCAGAAGCCTAAGAATACTGGACACCTTTCTGAAAGGGTATGGGAAAAGCATTTGGAAGGAAAAAGAGTCCTTCCCAAAGCTCAGCTGAGTAAGAAAGAAGAAGGGTCCCCTGGGGTCCAAGAAGAAAACGCTAAACTCCGGGACAACATGGAGCAGCTGCTGCAGGAGGCAGAACACTGGAGCCAGCAGCACACAGAACTCAGCGAACTCATAAGATCCTACCAGCAGTCTCAGAGGGACAGAGGAGCAGCTGCGGACAGCCAGCAGGCCCAGCTCCAAAGCCAACCGCCCAGCCACGTGTGTGACAGGCAGGTGCTGGAGGCAGCGGTGTGGAGGCTGAACCAGGACACACACTCCCTGCACCTGGTTGCAGCCCTGCTGGAGACCCAGTGTCAGATCCTACAGCAGAGAATGCAGATTCTCAGGGAGTCCCAGCAGCCCCAGGAGGGGTCATCACCGGAGAAGCCACCACAGAGAAACCAACAGGCCAAGAACAGCCAGACACCACGGGAAGCAGACCAAGTAGAAAACAGCTTGCCTTGCCTGGTGAGCACCTTTCGCAAGAAACAGTGGGTTTACAGAAGCTCAGATCCTTGTCTGAACAAGAAAGCTCGCAACAACCGGTTCAACACTCACATCGCAAGAGCTCTCTTGGGAAGAAGGAGGCCAGCCAGCGGCTTCAGTTAGAAAACCCAGAAGCAGACAGAAAGAGGAACCTTCCAAAATGACATCTCACCCTCCAGCCCCAGCCATAATAGGTCATCAAACTCAGGATGGGTCTTGTGGTTGAACCGAGAAAGAGCTATGTAGTGAGAAGATTAGCACTTATATTAGTCGCTACATCAGTGGTCCTGTAAGCTTGACCCTTGACAAGCAGAGGTCAGCATCAGGGCTATGACTTCTCGCCTTTACCATTGACTTGCTGTTTGTGGTGGTGAGATCCCGTGGCACATTGATGGAGGGGAGACGGTACTGGCCCGAGTAAGAGCTAAATAAAAAAATAAAAAGGGAAAGGTTTTTTTCTTTATTTCATCATTATCTGGGGGAAGGGAAGTTATGGGTGAAAAGTACATGATGATCTAATTGTAATCTTTTAAAGTTTGCTTTGTAAATTTATTCCTTTGTCTTATTGTACACTGAAGTATGGGACTTGGGAGGAAGGAAGGAAGGAAGGAAGGAAGGAAGGAAGGAAGGAAGGAAGGAAGGAAGGAAGGAAGGGTGGGAGGAGGGAGGGAGGAAAGAAGGAAAGGAGGGAGGAAAGAAGAGAGGGGAAGGGATGAATGGAGGAAGATTTCACCTCCCAGTCTGCTGGCTTCCTGCCCCTACGTCCCTTCCTTGTCAGCTACCGAGCCATGGCGCAGTGGGCAGCAGCAAAGAATACAAGTGTTTCTAGATTTTAGTTTTTGCTGGAGAATTTCCTCCATTCCTTCAAGTGGGGACAGTAGAGTTACCCAGGAATGCAGCAATATCTTCCACTAAGGGAGTGGGATTTTTGGTTCTAGAAAAAATGGAACAGATTCATTTCCCCTTAGTTTTCTCATTAAGGTAAACATCCTGGACATTGTTTATAAAGCAAATACAAGGTGACTCAAAGTGGAGAGAGAGGTAGAAAAGACAGAGATCATAGGACTTATGGGCAACACGATGTCTACGTTCCCTGGTTTTCTACCTGTGTCTCACATATTCTGAGCTGACAGCCAATATTCTGGAGCCCTCAGAAATGCCAGGGTATGTAGACAAATACCTCAATAAAATCTGCTTTCTCCTGCCAAAGGATGAGGGAAGGGACAGGTAGGCAAGATAGAAACTGATAGGGTTTGGATCTAAAACCTCCCCCAAAGCCTCACTGTGTTAAGAGCTGGGCCTTTTGGAAGGTGATTGGGCCGTGGGCATGCTGTACTCATCTGTGGATTCATTCAGTGATGAATCTGTAGCTGAAGGTGCCATTAAAAGCAGATCCTGGGCTGGGGATTTAGCTCAGCGGCAAAAGCGCCTGCCTGGCAAGCGCAAGGTCGTGAGTTCAGTTCCCGGTACCGGAGAAAAACCAAAAAAAAAAACCAAAAAAAAACAAAAACAAAAACAAAAACAAAAAAGCAGATCCTGGGGGCTGGGGACATAGCCACAAGCACGTGCACCTGCAAGCAGGTCCTGAGTTCAATTCCTGGTACCAAAGAAAAGCAAATCCTGGTTGAAAGAGGGGATCACTGGGGTGTGACCTGAAGGGGAGTATTCGTGCCTCTGGCTCCTCCTTCCTCCCCTGCTTCCTGGCTGCCCCAGGTTGAATCCTTCAATAGACCCTCCTACCAGGCCGTTTCTTCCTCAGAGCCAACTAACCATGGACTGAACCCCCTGAAATTATGAACCAAACAATCCTCTCCTCTTTTAAGTGGCAGATGTCAAGCATTCTGTTCCAAGGACAGGAAAGTGACTAATACAGAGATATTTTGACAAAAACTGATCTAATCCAGCAAAATTACATGGAAAATGGCATATCTCTACTGCCATCCCCTTACCCTGCCAACAGCAAATACCAACATGAGAGGCTAGACTTTCTGTGCAGCCTTAGAACCAGAATACATCTATCAGCACCTACTTCCTCTTAAACTGCAGCTTCATAGCAGACTAGGACTGACCAAGATGATGTACACTTCCCTGGGAGAAAGGCTGAATTGAATATGGGCTAGTAGTTAGTGATTTCTTCTGAGAGACTGTAATTGTTGGAGAGAAACACGGTTCAAGATGACACTCCAGAAAGGCATCTGCCTGAAGCCTTTACTTACAGTAAGAACTATCATTAAGAAAATTTTCTACATGGACCAGACTTACAGAAGAACGTTTGGACAGTAATGGCGCTGACAAGGTATGCTGATGGTAAGTGCAGTCCTCCACTTTGCTTTGATCCAGGACGTTCATGTAATGTTTTCTTTGCAGTACATCAGTGACCCCAACTTCTGGACACCAGGAGCTTGGATTACCTGTCCTTGCTCCTTTCCTTTGGGTCCCTGCTTGCTTCTGATTAGTTTCTAGTTGTCCCATTCAACCTCCTTCTGCTTTCCCAGAAAACAGCGTGACCTTAGCCCAGAAGGCCAGGTAGTCTTCTAGCCATTGGTCCTTTATCAGGTTATAACATGTCTTAGTTATTGCAGGCCAGTCAGGTTCACAGTCTCCCAAATGAGTGTTTGGTGAAGGCTAAATAAAAAGAGGTGAATGGAGTGATTTCAGGGCTCCAGGTGAATCAAAGCCATCTCACAGAACTTAAGATTCTCTCAGGGATAAGACCAAGACCTTCTCTGGGTGGCCCATATTTATTTGGTTATCAGAAGAAGGGAGGGGAGTAGTCAAGGAGGGCGAATCACTCAAGGACTCCTCCAAATAAGGCATTAAATTAATCCTTATTAAGGATTAAGTTAATCCACCCAGGAGTGAGATGCCTGAGGCTAGTCTTTATCTAGTTGAGATTGATCCAGGTGTCCTTGGCTGTGATCTTGTCTTATTCTTTGAGGTTTTCCAGCTTCATCTGCTTTACAGGCTTTATTAGGAATGAGCAACACACAGAGGTTCATTTACTATGAGTTCTTTGTCCATTTCCAGACAAGGAGCCAACCCTTGGACAGATTCACAAGTGAACATGAAAAGTCAATTGATTAACTTAAGTCCTGCTCAGGGCTGCTTTGTAGTGGTCTCCATCAGCCCTTTGCCCCAATGACAGTTATGTCTCTACCTTGAGAAGGAAAAAGTTGGGATAAGTCTGTATCCACAGCATCTTCTTACCATGCAGGGTTGCTTTCATTTTGCCATCTTTATGTTTTTCAGTATAAAGTGCTTCATACTTCCACACTGGGAAGATCCAAAAACCTCAGGAAGCACTGAGAGCCCAAAAGCTGCAATGATCAACACATTGGATCATCAACCTCATCTTTCTGGAGCAATTCCAGATAAGTGAAAGGAAGAAATGTGAAAGACCACAACTTAAAAGGACTTTAGAAGACTCTCATGAGGTGCTTGTTCTTACTGTACTATATCAAAGACTATTTTTGTTTATTTTAATCAGTAGAACTGCTAAAGTTTGATGGAGAAAACTGTAGAGATCTATTTTTCAAGATCAATTTTGAGGGTGGGGGATATAGCTCAGCAGCACAAGTGCCTGCCTGGCAAGGTCTTGAGTTCAATTCCCAGTACAAAAAAAAAAAATCAACTTTGAAAGTTGAAAAACTTCCAACCATTACTGTGAAGATTTATTGGGAAAAATCTGACAAGGAGTTTTTGATGAACTTGCCTTTCATCCTAGTGAGATTACCTAACAAGTCTTAAAATTACTAGTACTTTGGGCAAGCAGGTACTGATAATGTGGATGGATGTGTAAAGCTTCCAAAAGTGTTTGATTTTTATCCAAAAGTGTTTGATTTTTATTAGAGTTTGACTCTCAGGTAGTAAACAGCAAAAGTATTAAAGAAGCCAGGACTCAGAGTGGTCAGTATTGGTTCTGCTTCCTGATTGTCACTGATGTGCAAACCTCTCTTCCTTTAAGTTGTGGGTATCCACTTTTGTGTCCCAGAAGCAAGAAAGCTAATACACCCCTTATATTTCTCCTAAGGGTTTCATAGATTGCAGTTTTATATTTAGATCTTCAAGGGCTGGAGATATAACTCAGTGGTAGAGCTCATGCCTTGTGTGTGTAAGTCCCTGGTTCAACATACACACACCCCTCCTTAATCTATTTTCAGTTGATTTTCTCCGAAGCCAGCCATAACACAAAAACTACAATTCTACTTGTAGGGCAAGAGAAACTCCACTTTCTGGTTTTAACTTCACAGTAAGAAAGGTCACTTAGAGCCCACTTATGCTGTAGTTGGCACCCCCACACCCCAGTCTCCTTATCAACTTGCTTAAAAGCAGAGCAAAGCCATGAATTGGGAACAGAACAAACAGAGCAAATTGGGAAGTAGGTTAAAGGCTAACCCACTATGGTCACTGGAATTTGGTTGTCTGACCTCCTAGGAGAAAGGTAAACTTTGTGCTAATTATGTGGCATTCTGGTGAGATTCCTGAAAAATCAAGTAATAGTTACTACGGAAACCTGAAATGTACTAAAACCGAAGGTCAGACCCAGAGGAGCATGGACATCTTCTCTGTCTCCAGGTTAGAGATGATCTGTCAGCCAGCTCCAGTAAAGCTTTGTTTGTTCGTGCTTTTTCAGTTTTCTTGTGAGTGTCTTTCTCAATGGACTCGCTTGTCATATCACTACTAACTTCCTCCCACCTTGCTGTGTAAGCATTGGCCATAGTAAAATGTGTCATGGTTTGGTTTGATTTGGTTTGCTTTGCTTTGGTTTGTGGTACAAAGAATGGGACCCAGGGCCTTACACATTTTAGTTAGCAAGCATTCTGCCACATCCATGTAAGTAAAAAATTTTAAAACAGATTTTTGTATATAGTTTTAGTCAATGCTTGAAATAAGCCTTAAATATTGCTCCTCCCAAACTCCCCTTTTTAGTGTTAATTAATGTCATTCATGCTTATCTTTCCTGTGGGCATTTTTATTTCAATAAAATCCTTGGCTTCTGGGGTTTCGTATGTATCAAGGGACGTGGTGCTGTCTGGCTGGCTTTCTATTTATGTAGCATCTTCCTCAAAGAACATTATATTTTATATTTATGAGAAAAGTCACTGTGTGCTGACTCTATTTCTGATGGCTGCATAATGCTTTCCTTTAAGTCATAAAGCTTAGCACCTGAGCCATGGCAAGCTTCCTCTCTGTACAAAGCAGAAGAAGCTCAGTTGCTACACAAAGCTGCCATGTCCTCTTTCCCTCTCCTGGCTCTGCAGTCCATGTCTAGCCTTAGGATGAGGAAAACAGGCAGATCTCAGTGTGCTTAAGCAATGTCATCAAACTGTTTCCTTTCATGGCCCAGGAATTCCCATTAATATCCCTTTCTTGCCCTGTCTGCTAGCCTGGCTGCTAAGAACAATACCAACCTCTAAGTCTCTCAATCCTTCCTCATGACCACCACGTG